AAGCAACATCTTGTGGATTATTTCAGTTTGAAACAAAGGCGCAGGACGAGCCAATCGGGGGAAAACATGGCGGCTAACAACAATAGCTTAACGCGGTCACTTTGTTTCTGTGCGAGTGTGAGAATCGGTATTGTTGGGAGCGTTTGGGAGGCGGGGGGTCCTTCCAGTCGCCCTCTCTCTTTCATCACAGCCTCATCCATATTCATGGCCGCCCTCATCCCTCTCCTCGCCTGTTAGCCGCCGTTCGCTCTGACCGACCGCCTGCTCAGCCAATAGCGTGACTCCTTTCATGAGAACATTGCCAACCTCTCTGTTCACCCCACCCTGTTCAATCCCTTCTTCGTTTTTTTTTTTTTTTTGCAATTTGACGCATTGGCTTAAAAAACAGAGCTAGACGGTGAGGAGGAGACGGAGGAGAGGGACGAGATGTTGCTGCCGTTGGTGGCTTTATCATCGATCGGCCTAGGAAACGATTGCCGAGCGAGCGTCGTCGACAGCGGCGGACAAAAGGATGGAAGAAGGGCGTGATTAGCGTGGACGAAGAGGAGCGAGTGAAGAAAACAGGCGCGTCGTAGAGAAAAAGCAGCGCTTGTGTTCACAGAAACGATCCAGACTGTACAATTAATTCAATATCTGATTACTAGACATGTAATTATCATGTAATTACCACGTTTTCACATGTAATACCACCAGACTGTCATGACTAATTTAGCCAGGCAATAAACTGGCGCAGAAGTTATCGCGATGAACGATAATATTGTCATTTTGACATCATTTTTGAGTGATAAACTTTAAATTTTAATTAATATTTAACACTGGAACTGGAAGACATTTTAAATATAAAAAAACAACTGAAACAATGAATAAAATCAATTATGAAGACTCTGTAAACAAGAAATGGCCAGTTGAGACCAAAACACCAGACTGAAGACTTTTAACATCCAGTTTTTTGGTACAAAAAGAGAAAAAATAAATAAATAATTCAGTTAATTTAATCTTAATTTACAAGTTAAGATCATTATAATAATTGGGATCAGTTTTACAAAGTTTTTTAGGATGTTTTGTGGACCAATTCGCACCAAGCATTTTATTTAATACTTACTGCCACATTAATTTAACTGTAAAACCTGATTCTGGTCAAAATGACACATTAGCATTATCCTACCAAGTGTAAACATCTTAGAAACAAGACCAAATTAACATTTTAGCAAGAAGCGCAGGCTTATTTAAGTAACTCCTGAATATTCATGAGTTACTAGGTACTTCATGTTACCTAGCAACCCCGGCCAAGCCACGCCTGTAACCTAGCAACCAAATTCTGGTTCCACCTGCAGATTAGAAAAATTGTTTTGCTACAAGAACAACTTTATTGTTCATTGATATGGAGGGATTATTTACTCAAAACAAACTCCGACGTCTGGCTAAAAAGTTACCTGTAAGTTAATTTGATCTCTTTTTAAGAGAACTAAGATATTTGGACCAAAGAAACGTGGTAAGATTTTGTTTTTGCAGTGCGTGTGTTGCCTTGTATTGCCTCGGTCACCGTGATTATTACTTATTTAGTTAATGTTAAATAAAGTTGGATCAATGTGAAAATGGCTGCCAAAAAAAAACCCCAACATCCGGCGCAAGAACATCAGGAAAATATAAAATAAAATTAAGATCAATATCTTCAAAGACCCGAAGTCATACAGCCCGGATCGAGTGTGTGTGTGTGTGTGTGTATGTGTGTGTGTGTGTGTGTGTGTGTGTGTGTGTGTGTGTATGTGTGTGTGTGTGTGTGCTGTTAATCCATCATGTCCACACCTCCCTTCATCTCTCTCATTAAACCTGGCCTCTGCTTTTTGCAGGTAGTTGGACATAAAACACAGAGACACACATGCAGAAACCTTCAGTCTGTCATTTGGCAAGGGCGTTTCAAGGTCGCCGCCTCTTTCTTCCCAACAACAGCCAGCCCGTCCATTTACTAAATGGATGCTCTATAACTTAGAGGACGGACAGCAGACGTACAGACGGAAAAAATAAAATAATAAAAAGTAAGGAATATTCCCAGCACGGCTGGGAATATCAAGTAATCAGTTCAATATCCTGAAAATTCAGATGTCAAACTTGGATTCAGTCACATAAAATGTTCAATTCTTGAAATTAAAATGAACAAAAGAAAGCATTTTGAGTTACATAAGCGTTTTTAAAGGCTTATACAAGCTGCTTTTTCTACCTGAAACCTACATTTATTTTAAAGCTCCAGACTGCCGGCGGGACTGTGAGGTTCTGCAGCTGAAAAGCTAATGCTAATGCTTTCTGCTAGCTTTTTAGTGTCTCCTGGGTGAGATCGGGCCCTAAGCATGATGGGAAATAGGTCAGAACTGAGGTTATCCCGGTTAACTGAAACTAACAAAGTAACAAAAAGTGAAATTGAGAAAAAAAATTGTTAACTGTAATTAACATATTCTGAGTTTCTGAGAAAATCTTTAATTCTGAATACCAATATACCAAGAATAATATGGATTCACATCTGAACAACAACTCAAATCCTGATGTTTGAAGTGTCCTCTGTATATTCATGTTATTTTTTGTGGCTGGAACATTGTGACTTTATAAAACTAACTAATACATATTGAAATTATAAATGTAATATCCTTTGTTTTCATGCTCATAAATCTATTATTTAGCCTTTTGAACTGATGTGACAGCGGCTACGCTACTAGCGGCTACGCTACTAGCGGCTACGCTAGTCCACAAGATGGCAGCCCCAAAAGTCAGTTGGCTGTTCAACAATAACTGAATACGAGTTTTAAAGAATAATATCTTTAAATGATAAACTCACCAAATTATTAAGTTTGTTTCATTCATTAATATATTTAATTTCTACTTTTAATTTCATGACCAAGGTTATAATAGTTTTGGGTTTTTCTTTATAGTTCATTTTTACTCGTTATGGTTTTATTTTTTTGGGTTTAATTCATTTAGTTTTGCTACTTTTTATGAGTTAAATATGTTTTTTTTAGTTTTATTAGTAGTTTTGGTTCAATTTCATGCGCAAAATTCAAAAAAGGTTAACATATTTTGTTAATGTTTAGTGAAATAATCTGCCAGTAGAAATTGAAATTGGTTGCTAGGTGACTGATTGGGCTGTGGTTGCTAGGTAACGGCGCAGAGGAGTTTTGAACTACAACGTTTTCATCAATAAGAAGGAATTATTTACCTGAAACAAAGTCCTTTTTATTGCTAAAAAGACTCTAAAGAGTTAAATTTGTCTTTTTTCACTGTCTGCAGTAGAAAATACTCGGTTAGGTTTTGTGTTTTTGCAGTGAAGTTTTCGCTCCTTCAGTTCCAACAAGCGAAACTGGATCAAATATTAACAGTGAGCTGATTAAACGTCTGATCGCTCCAAGATGAATTCCTGTAATAGCGTGGGGGACGGGTGCCGGGCGCCTGCTGCGTCCTGCTGCCCGGGTGGGGGGGGGACACGGCGGAGCGGCGGCGGATTAGCCGGCTGACGGTGGGATGGGGGATGTGGAGCGAACTCACTGATCTTTTCCGTCGGTAAGATCAGCCTCAGCGTTTTCTGTTTTGGGGAGCGACTGGGGGGTCGATGGGATGGGCGCTGCGGCCGCCCCGTGTCGTTTCTGCTCTCTGACTGCTGACCCGCCTTTCTTTAAAATGTTTTTATCAGCTACGCACATTTTCATGTGACATGTATTTTTTTGTTCCCTTTAGTCTCCGATTTATTTTTTTTTAAGCATTGAGTGAAATAAACAGAAATATTCCATCCCTGCAGAATCTTTTAGAGAAATCTTAACTTTGTTTTTTATTTTTACCCGTTTGCAACTAGAAAGTTTGAAAACTTCAATCAAGATCCACCGATTTATTCCCCAGCAATCAGATTCAACCCATTTTCCCACAATTGGCTCTGATGAGAAGCTGCGTTTCCATCCACTATATAAACTGCGTATTGTGACATTTTGAAAATAAACTCGCTAAATGTAAGTTTTGATGCTGATATGAGTTTTTTTTTTCTCCCTTTTTTGGCAGTTTTTAAATTGGTTTATTTTACTAAACTGCAATAGAAACACTTTTTTCCCGTCATATGATCAACGACCTGATGTTACTACAGGCGGAAACGACGAAGAAGACGACAACAGGAAGTCGTTTTTAACAAATCACGTGAAGAATCATATTCATGTGGGATTTCTAATTGCGTTTCTTATTTAAAGGAAACACCACTACATTAACAAAATATTGACAAAGTTCTGCACACATTTGTACGGAAACACATCTACTGACATACAAGCACAATACTTGAAAACAAATTAAACATGTTAGTATTAAACAGATCATAAGTATGAATTCCTAACAGTTTGTGATCCATCAATTCATCAACCAGGCACTTTAATGCTTTTTTTTTTAGTTTAAGAAAAATCAGATGAAGGGAAGAGAAATAATAATCTTCTTTTCCACCTTTGAGAAAACTTGCAGCACATTTCCTTCTTAAAATAATCAGCCACATTCAGACGTAGTGGGTCATAAAGAAAACCAGAAATCAGTTTCAGTTCTGCAAATTAAAAACGCAAAACGCAACTTTTACATTCGTCCTGACCGCAAAGTGAACCGAAGATGAACGTTTCAACAACACATCAGCAGATGATATGGCCAGCATGAGGTCAAAGGTCGTCAGCAGTCATCTGTGCAGTTATGTTGAACATCATGAAATAAAAACAAACATTGGATCTGCGTTTAAAAAAAAGCATGGCAATGGATGTTATGGGACTGAAAACATACAATATAAACCATAACACCATGCATTACTCTGAGCAATGAAAAGAATGAAGGTCCTGTTTAAACGTACGTTAAAAGATCCTAATTGTTTAAATTTTGTTTGAAATTTGCCTTCAGGAGAAACAGAAACATTAGCCGTGTTGCAGGGTTAGCAGTGAAGACTATTAAAAACAACAAAAGAAAAGAAGAAGGTAGAAGATCAAAATCAAAGTCTGTCTTACCATGAGTCTCAGTTTCTTGTTGAGGGTAAACAATGCCTTCAGATTCAAATAGGGGCTGCAGGAAGGCCACTACAGAGAGAGGAAGCACAGGGGTGGGGAGTGTGTGGCGTGAACTAATCATTCAGAGAAACAATCATCTAACTTTAGATCTGCAGCCTGAGACAGAGAAACCAGCTCTGGGTCAAACTATTCCCTCACAAACAGGAGCCGACTTTGTGTCACATTAAGTCCTGATCTGGGCTGATCCCAGAGAAACGAGACACAAAACATTTTTACAACACAGGAAACAAACACAAAGTGTTACCAAGCAGTTTGGTTTGCACTTGAAATAAGACAAAAATGACTCAAAAGTTTGTTTCAAGTCAAAAATGATCACAAATAGATTTTTTAAAAAGCTTATAATGAGAACTTTTTTCCTTTCTGAAAGGATAAAATCTGCCAGTTGAACTAGAATTTAAGAATTATTGACCTGAGCTTTTAGTTATTTTGACTTTAGTTCAAGTGGATTAAGATATTTATAAAATAAACAAGCTTGTTTTAAGTCGATAAACTTTGAATAATAGTTCCAACTGCAGATTTTTTCACTTAAAAAGGGGAAAATTTCAGCTTTTCTTATATCTATAAGCAAAACGTATTGATTTAGCAAGCTCATATAGTTTCCTGAAAAGTTAGTTTCAAGTTAAATTTGTCTTAATTGGAGTGAATTGACATGTTTCCCTTAGAAACTGGACCAAAAATACTTGGTAAAATTGTGTTTTTGTGGATTGAAGCTCCGCCTCCTGCTCGTCTTAAACGCCTGGCGGAGGCGGAGGCGTCCTCTCTGCCTGAGTAAAAGTCTTGAAATAAGAAAAAATGACTTAAGAATAATGTTTCACCAAGTTAAATAAGCTTGTTCTATGTCAACAATTACCAGTTTAATTTAATTTTAGATTGTTTTTGTTTTATTTCAAGTATTTTCACTAGAAACTGGACCAAAAATACTTGGTAAAATTGCGTGTTTTGCTGGTTGAAGCTCCGCCTCCTGTTTGCTGCTAGTCTTAAGCATGTGGTTGTCTGGCTGCGGTGCAGGCGTCCTCTCTGCCTGAGTAAAAGTCATCATCATCATCATCATCCCAAGCTTTTCATTTGTCTAAATGCACATGCCGGCGGAGTGTTGTGCAGGCAGCGGAGGGTCCCCAGGGCTCCGGCTGTGGGTTTTTACATGCGGCTCTGAGTGCTGCATCGATCTGCAGTTAAACACGCCGGCTAACCTGACGCTCAGCCCTCCGCAGGTGGACTGATGCTAACCAAGATGGCCGACGGCAGGGGGCTGACTGTTCTTCCCCACAGTTTCAAAGTCCTTTAAATTACGCAAAAACATCAAATTTATCCTTTTGAAAATGCTTACTTCATCTTTTTGTACTTGAGTTACACTAGCTCACTTTGAGAAATGCTACGTAATTTATTGTGTAATAATCAATTTGTTGTGATATTTTAGCAACAGCAATTATAATTTACTTGTTTGCCTTATTTATGAGATCATTTAATTCATGTTTTTTTTCTAGAATAATCATCCAACATGTGCTACACTGCAAAAACAGAATCTTACCAAGTATTTTTGATCTAGTTTAATGAGTGCTAATATCTTAGTACACTTGAAATAAGACAAATTAGCTCAGAAGTAAATTTTTATGAAGATATGAAGGCTTTTTTTTGAGTAAATAATTCCTTTATATTGATGAAACATTCTTGATCCATTGGGAAATTACTGATTACAGTGGATTAAGTACTTTTCCATTACTATAAAGTAATTATTTACTTAAATCAAACTTCTATATCTTGCTGAAAACTTTCAAGTTAGTTTTATTACTCTAGAAACCAGACAAACTTACTTGGTAGGATTTTGTGTTTTTGCAGTGTATTTTTACTCGAGGCGTCTGAATTTCATGCCTTGCTTCTTGAATTAACATACAATGGCTCCTTGCAGACGTTGCAGAAACATTTCTTTTAATGTCTTGCTCAGATTCAGTAAATCTCCCAGAATCCTCTGGCGCTTTTAAATCGACTGTAATCTGAAGTGCTTTGCTGTGAAATCTGCACAAAATACATAAAGTCTGAATTAGCTTAGCAGGTACTGTGCGTACCTTTCAGTTTGAATTTATGCTAGCATAATAAAGGGATGGCTCATGTTTTTATGTTGTTGTTTTTTTTTTGTTGTTGTTGAACTGGGGAGGTCTGTCAGCAGTTAATATCTCACCTCCAGCAGATTTTATTGTATTATATCCGGATCTGTTGGCGTTTGGAGGCTAAAGCTAAGCTAACGGCTAAGCTAAGCAAACGTTCATCCTCCTGAAACTTTTTTTCCCCCAACCTTTACAGTTGGAGGAGGTGCAGCACCAATTCTCTTCCCACGAGGAACAAGGAAGATGTCAAAAAAATCCAGTCACAAAAGGACAAATGTAATAAAACAACCTCCTGAAAATAATCATGAGTTTCTACCCAATATGAACATCATGATCGTGTCAACATTTATAAAACGTTTCCAACAGTGGCGTTAATTTGAAACAGGCTTTAGCCCCAAAGATCAACTTATCTGGATTTCTATTAAATAAAGACATCAAGATGGTTTTCTGCTGCAGGTAAGATGTTGTTTACCAAAAGAAGAAACTGATTTGCGCATTTTTATTATTATTTTTTTGAAAGTATGACCGTCCCTTTAACTGTCCTTCATATCGGCAGAATATTTAAAGGAACACGTCCACCTGTGCGCTGAATGGAGGAGTCTATCCAAAGTGCATTGATGGAGCGGGTAGGTGGGGGTGCATGGCCAGTTTATGCTACTGATGGTGATGGGGATGCTTGGCGCATGACAGCATGTAAACAAAAACCAAATGTGGTGATCATCTCGCTTGGAGGATAATGAAGAAACATCGTCTGAACGTCAGAAAACGGCAGCCGAGAAATAACAGAAAACCAGAAACACAGGCAGCCTGAGCGGCAGCGGAGCCCGGACTGTTTTTCACAGGCCTGCGGCTCCCGGAAAGCCGCTTGTGTAACCGCGCAAACGGCGCGGCGATGGAGGCTGATGCGGGAGATTAGCACAAGGTCATCCGCGACGGGATGAGACCCAGACCGGGCCGCCGGGCTTCACTTGTTTATATCCTTCATGTCGCATCCAGCATGGCGGCCGGATTTCTCCAGACGCGATCATTTATGTAATTTGACAAAAAGGATAAATAAAAATAGAGGCTGAATCGTGCGCAGGAAGGAAGGAAGGAGGAGGAGAAAGAGGAAGGCTTCCCTCCAAATCCCTGCGCGCTTCATTGTTTCCTTCCCATCACAGGCGGCGACCCGTGATTATTTTACTGCTGATGGGGAAAATGATCGCCGCTCATGAGGGCGCGGGGAAAAACATCCCCTCTCAATTTACGGCGTTTTTCCCCCTCCCGCTAAGTTTTCATCCATTTCTCAGAATCAACCTGCGTGTCGGCTCAGCCGCGGCATCTCTGCTCTTACCTCCCGTGTTTGTGCGCTTGGTGCTGCTGGCCTCCGTCGGGGTCTCCAGGGGTCTTTTACGCGAATCCGGGGGGTCGGACTCCATGTGCGGCTGCTGACTGTGATGGTGGGGACTTGAGAAAATGCCGTTTTGCTGCACAGCTCCGCCGGCCATCATTTTCGAGCTCGCTCTTGGATGCTTAAGCTGCGTCTGCGCTTAAATCCCCCGTCCGCGCGCGCGCGTGTGCTGTGTGTGTGTGTGATGTGTGTGTGTGTGATGTGTGTGTGTGTGATGTGTGTGTTCTTTTTTGTTTTTTTCTTCCTCCCTTTCTCCGCTGGTCTTTACGCAGCGCAGCCGTGCAGATGAGTCCTGGGAGAAAGCGAGGTCGCTTTAAGAAAAGGGGGAAATACGCCTTTTTTCTGACGGACGCAGCAGGTTGAGATGCTGCGCAGCGACGGAAAGATGGAAACAAAAATCCACCGGATCCGCTTCCTGCGGCAAAACGGTCACAATAAAAATATTGATTTAAAAAAAAAATACTTTCTCTTCCAAGAAGCTTCGGATACGCGGGGCTAGGATGTGCGTATCGTTCCGCTCATGTCCGGCAGATGGTGGCGCTCCTCCGCGAACAGTGAAGAAAACAAGACAAACAAAGGAACAAACAGACGAAGAAACAAAACAAAGAAGGAAAAAAAAGAAAAAGAATCGCGGTTGTTATGATAATATGAAAAGAAAAAAGGAGGAGGAAAATCCGAGCGTAATCTCAGTGCGGTGGTCCGGTCCTGGCTCCAGGAGGCGCGGATGGAGACACCGCGGGGTGTCGGCGGGCGGCGCGGGTCCGGAGCTGCAGGAAGACGCGGGGAAAGAGGCGTGCGGCTCGGCTGACTCGGTGAAGATGCTGCAGTCTCGCGTTCAGAGCATCCCTCCTCTGACTGGCTGCTGGAGGAGGCGCAGGGCAGCGGCTGACGACACTGGGCCCGATGGTGCGTTCACGGCGGCTCGGAAATCCCACCCCTTTAAAAACTCCCACTTTTTGATGAGAAACACGCCGTTACAGCTCAAAACATCAGGTGCGTTTTAGGTAAAGAACTAATAACTAATCAGAGAATTATGAAAAGGGTTACTTACGACAGAAATTTAAATGACTAAATTACACCTGGATTCATTTAGATTAGAAGAAAATCACCTGCTGACATGCAAAGGCAGCAAGACAGAAAAAGGTGATTACCGTAGACTATTGTTTCCAAATGGAAGAGGAAAACTTAGTGGAAGGAAAAAGTGTGGTAGGAAAAAAATAATTGCAGCTTTTTTTCTCTCCATCTAACAGTATGTAGTCCTTATTTTTCTTGTACAAGCACTTTGAATTGTCTTTGGCTGAAAGGTGCTATATAAATAAAGTTGCCTTAATATTACAATATTTTCTTATGTCTTTATGAGTCACACAGTGATGGGGAAACCTGCTGACCTGTCAGTGACAAGATGGAAAGTCAGAAAATGTCATTAAATAATCTAGTTGAAGACTTGAAGACCTAGTTGAAGGAGGAAGAAGAAAAAAATAATAATCTTGAAGACCATCGTTTCCAAATAAAACTGGAAAGTTGAGTGGACAGATAAAGTTATGTCATAAAAAATATGAGGCTCATGAAACAATCCTATAAAAGATGGCTTCCTTATATAAAAGAACAATTTTATATTTATGAAAGTAAAGAATAAAACATTTCAAAAGACCAATGAAAATAATATTTAAATATTTTATTATTAGTTGTAGAATCTTGAAGAAACCTGCTACATGTCAGAAAAGGTGATTAAAAACCTGTTTGTAGATTGTTTCCAAATGGAAGAGGAAAGTTGAGTGGAAGAAAAAAGTGTGCTACCCTACAAAAACAAGGACTGTTTTTACAGGATCGTGAAGAAATTTCCAATAAAACATTTTTTTCTTTCTCTACAGGAACATTTTTATACTTATTAAAGACCAATAAAAATAATTAATATTAAAATACTTTTACCTCCTAATGAGTTACACAATTGTGAGGAAAACTGCTGACTGGTCAGTGACAGAGGAAAAAGTTTTCTAGCGAGTTATTCAGGTGAGATTTTAATTGTTTCCTATTTGATGGAAAATCCAAATGGTGGTTTTGTTCTTTGACATCAGCAGAATATTGAAAAGGTTTGTGAACATCTTCAATGGATAGATAGATAGATAGATAGATAGATAGATAGATAGATAGATAGATAGATAGATAGATAGATAGATAGATAGATAGATAGATAGATAGATAGATAGATAGATAGATAGATAGATAGATAGATAGATAGATAGATAGATAGAAATTTTCGCATCTGTTATCAAGTTTCTGAATTCCGACGACACGTGAACGCATCCCGAGGAGAACAGAGCGACGTGATTGGCTGAAGCCTCGTTTCTCCGATGAGAATATCAGAGCAAGGATATATCCGTCCTGGTGGTGTGTGTGTGTGTGTGTGTGTGTGTGTGTGTGTGTGTGTGTGTGTGTGTGTGTGTGTGTGTGTGTGTGTGTGTGTGCAGGTCACGTGACAGAGGTTGAGAGTTTGGAACCGAAACGCGCCAAAAAACCAGAAAAACGCGTTTGAAGGCAGGTCGGGCTCAGAGGAGCTGCAGACAAACTTACAGGAGAGATTTTACGCTTTGCTGCGTAAAAGTTGAAAAAGAACACAGTAAATTATTTATGGCGAATAAAGACGGAAAAATGAGCAAGTTTGTGCTTGTTGACCCATTTATAAAAACCCCAAACTGAACTACAAGCAGCGCCATGCAGAAACGTGAAGAGGTGGAAATGAGAGATGTGGGTTTGATGGTCCGGATGCTCCCATCCGGACCATCACCTGTTCTCTGCCCGCCCCTCCCCCCCCAGCTCTCCCCTACCTCTGCTTCCGGTTGCCGTATGACCCACCTGTGTGCGCCACTGCTGACATCGCTGCGTCGCTCTGCAGAGGGATCCTCCGGCGCTGTGAGCTCTCGGAGAGCAACACCCGCTTCAGAGTTTCTCCCTCTCTCTCTCACACACTTCACAGATTCCCTCTTGCTTTCTCTCTCTCTCTCACACACACACACGCACACACACACACACACACACACACACACACACACACACAGAAATACCCCAGCTCTTCCCTGTCTGTGTCCGACCGGTGATCAGCTCTACAGATGCTCCTCAGTGATGCCTCCTGTTCATTGCAGTCAAGGTGACATTGTCCTACACACACACACACACACACACACACACACACACACACACACACACACACACACACACACACACACACACACACACACACACACACACACACACACACACATACAGTTTCGCATCACCAGATTCTCTCCAGCTCTGGGAATACGTGGCAAATCCAGTTGGATTTGCACACCGCAGCGCAGCTGGCGCAAGGCCGCGGCTACCTGGCTGCGCCACCGCACACTTCCGGCCGTTTGCGCTCTCAACCTTGACTCACGCGTTTATACTTTTGGCACTGGGGCCAAATCTTGTTCTGTCGGAGCCGTGAGGGCCCCACAAGGGCCGGCTCATCATCCACATGGAAAAAGTGAAGCAAGCTGTAAAGCTGCAGCATTCTTTGGTTTTTTTATTAGGCTGCAGCTACAAGCAGATGTTAGAGAGAGATTTGCGCTTTTGGCGACAGGATGCGTTTAGGGACCAGCGCAACATGCAAACATCAGAAGTACCAAGTACTTTCTGACACAATTCGCGCAAACGGCTATAAATGCAGAAAATGCAGACTAGAAATGGTTATTTCTAATGAAATCTAGTGGATTTCAGTTTAATTTAGTTTGTCTCATTAGTTAAATTTCAGATAAATATTGTTTTGTTTTAGTTTTTGTGAGTTATAGCAGCAGCAGAGATAAGTAGCGTAGCCAAAAATTGTACTAAAGTATAAGTAGCACTACTTAGCATAACTTAACTCAAGAAGTGAAGGTAAGTGAAAATTTTGGTATTTTAAAGACAAAAATGGCAATAATTCAAATAAGTAGCAAAAAATAAATGAAAATGCTTTAAAATCTGTTTATTTCAATGAAAAACTTTTGAAACTAGGGAATTTCTGGTTAAAACATAAATCCAGAAGTTTTACTCAAGTAAAAGTAGAAATACTTCATAGTAATATTACTCAAAGTACAACACAGTAAAAATACTCCAAAAAGTATTTTTTTTTAAAAAATGTACTCAAGTAAATGTAACTGAGTAAATGTAACTAGTTACAACCCATCTCTAAGTAGTAGTTTTAGTTTTTAAATCATTTTTAACAATTATACATAATGTGATTATGCATATATTGATTTAGAAATGAATACAAAAAATTATTCATTTTCTGTTGAACCAACTGACTCTGACGTCACATAGCCACCAGGGGGCGCACGGAGCACCGTAATTTGCCGTCAGCTGACGTAAACTGCTTATGTAAAAAACATTACATCAGTTCAAGAGGCTAATAAATAGATATATAAAACTAAAATATACCATTTTAGTTTTATAAACGCACATTCCAGTTAGATTTAGTTTCTCCCAACTAATTACCATTTTTATATATTCCAGGTATTGAAAATGTTTTCTTAATTTCAGTTTTCCTTATTTAGTTCATTTTGTTTAGCTGTAACAGACTCATCATAGCTGTCAAATACAGAAAATGAGGCCTAGAGATCACTATTATTCCACCATATTTTGGCGCCCCTGGAACATGGCGCCCCCATAGTGCCGCTGCTGACTGGAGGGCAAGTCTCCAGTAAACAAGTCAGTTTTCCCACTATGTCATAATCTGCTTTCAGAGAGCTTCAGTTTGTCCACCAGCAAATGTTCTCCAGAGTTTCACATGAATTTCCTGCTCCTGGAAATAATCAGCGAGAGGACACTCCCCAAGTAATCGATCTTTCGCTTTGGAAGCTGACGCTGGAATTCCCAGTTAAGTCACCAAAATATTTGAAAGCGTCGTGAGGTTCAACGTTTCCAGGGCTCCGAGCCAGAATCAGTCTTGTTGTGCTTTTGGTTTCCTCTCTCGTAGGAAATGCTGGGAGTAAATCCTCCTGAACGTAGGCAACTTGTGTTCCCTGCAGTTTGATAACATGAGGGATCTGCAGTCGCTTTTATGGATATTCAGGGTGTAAACAAAAATCAGCTGTTATGACTAAAAACTGAGGGCTGCTGGCGCCATCTGGTGGTCAAATACTGGGATAAAAACTCCAGCTACTGTTTTCTGTTGCCCAAAAAAATTTCACTCCAGAGTTAAACTACTTCCACGTAGTGCTACTAAAATAAAAGTAACAAGTGCAGCGTTACTTTCATGTAAAATTATGTAATTTTAAAATATTTTTTATATTTAAAAATTACGGACAAGATATAAAGCAGCGATGTCAAACTTATTTTCAAAAATCTGCATGTTCTCAAAAGGGCCAGTTGTGCCAGAATGTATTGATAAAACCCAGTAAACTGTTAAAATATTAATAAATAGCTGTTTGTTTCAGCATTCAATAAGTGTTTCTTAAAAGTAATATTAACCATCTTTTCACATTGATCAGTCCATCCAGGATTTCTTGATTGTTTTTGTGTTTCAGCCAGATTTTGTGGCACTAATTTAGAAATACTTGGAAGGAATTGTTACCATATTTTCGCTAATGTGTGATGTTAAATGTGACTTTCTTATTAATTGTTGTATTGATCACAGATTTTCAAGTGAAATTGAGGCAGCAGTCACTTGAACCCAACATTTCTGGACAATTTTGAAAAACATTTGCAGTAAAAATCTGAAGAAATGTAGGAATCTCCTGTTTCTGTGTGAGCTTTGCAGATTTATCATAAACTCGAGGCCTCGGGGCCAAATCTGGGCCGCAGTAGCGCTTAATGTGGTCCTCCAGACTCCAGATTACATCA